AGTGGAGGTAGAAGTTGTTCCATTGTTTGGATTGTAAAAAATAGGAATCAAAAATAATAGAAGACGGATCATGAACCATACCATTCCATTATACTGCTTAACTCTAATTCTCTTTCTCCCAAATTTTGGGTGCACTGGATGGAATAAAAATTTTAAATTATAAATGACTATTTCATATTTGCAAGTTTTATCCTAATCATTAGTCTTTTAAGGATAATATATTTAAAATAATAATATGAGAATTAAAAAACTACAACACATTCCATTCCATCCTTTTTCCAGACAAAGGAATGAAATATTTGTTCTATTTCATTATCGAATATCCAAACAATGGAATAGAATATTTTATATTCTATTCCGATCCATTCTCTACCACCAATCCAAACATCACCTAAGAACTTCTCATAACATCAAATCATAAGCAAAATTTAAGTAATGGGAGATGTGACACACTCAACAATGAGGCATACAACCCAACAAAACAGTCTCGCTGCCGGTCAGACAAGGGGCAACACAAAAACAAAATTCAGCAACAAAGTGTTACATTACATCCAAATGACTAATCACACTCAAAATGAGGTACAAGAGAAGAAGGTTTCACTCACGTTTCAAGTAAGCATCAAAGAGATTGCCAGTGACACCTTCAACGGTATCATCAATGGGAAGAATATGAACACGCTTCCCATACTTGACATCAGGGCAAGTATGCACAGACACAACATCTCCAAGCCGAACCCTCAAATTCGACCTCACAACCTTGTTCATCCTCACCCTCGGCTCCTCACAAGTCTCATCCGCAAGAGCAATGCAAACCGTGTCCTTCCGTTTCTTCCCCTACATCACAAATCCAAAATAATTAAAATTAAAAAAAAAAAAATTGAGTGAAACCCATAATTTGGGAATCGAGTGAGAAGGTTAAAAAAGAGACCTTGACGAGGATAGTGTCGCCTCTGAAAAGTTGGAGTTTTTCCATGGTTTGAGGGTGCATGGAAACCACTGAGTTGTCGTCGTTGATAGCTTCATCGACGATTAACCGGTTCGGAGATTTCTTCCGCTCGAGAATCGCCGTGGAGAAGTCCTTCTTCCCCGATTTCCTGAAATTGGATTGCGAAAATCAAAAGAAAAAAGTTAAAGTTGATCATGACATAGGTATTTGGCATTTGGGACAAAAAAAGGAACATGATTACGAGAACGAGTTGACTCACGAGTCAGATGATTCAGGGTGGGGAGACATTGGAAGATGAAAGCAATGAAGCATAGGGGAAATGCAGAGAATGAGAAACGGAGTGATGTTGAAGGGTCGTTTCTCCTTATATATCCTATGAACTACTACAAATTAGGAATTCGAATCAATTCTTTTTTCTTATATTTTAAATACACATACATATATATACATATACAGATAAAAGTAAAAAATAATACTAAATCAAAAAAAATATTTTAAGACGTTTTTAATATTTTATTATAACTTTATCTGTTAAGATATTTATCTTTTAAACATATTTAACTTTTGGTATAAAAAAATATATATAATTTACTATCAAATTTAAATTTTTTTATAAGTTAGATTAATTATTTTGAATGAAAACGTGTTTAAAAGTTTTATTTTTATAACAATATTTTAGATTTTTTTTCATCTTTACTTCAAAATAAATTTAAATAGATATAAATAAATAATAAATCATTCATTTTATATATAAATAAATAAATAAATAAAAAGGTTAAATTATATTCTAAGTGTTTTATCTTATTCTTTTATATTTCTTTTTATCTTTTATTTCTTAAAATGTTTATTTTCATCTTTTATTTTTAAGATATTTGTTTTGATCATTTATCTTTTATAATTGTATCAATATGGTCCTTCTTTTACAATTGATCATTTTCAATTTTATATCACAATTTTAAATTAATTTTTGAGTAATTCAAAATATAAAACTTATAACATTAGGTTTACTTATGTGAAAATCATGAAATTCAATTGTCATTTGAATCTAAAATGGTTATAAATATAATAAAAATCGAGCGAAAAATCTGATAAATAACTAAAAAATAATATAAAATTAGATTTTTTTTATAGTTTTTTTATTGCTTTTCTAACTTATGTATATGTGTTTTTCAATATGTTTTATGAAATTTTTGTATTTAAAATTTAGTTGCATTTAATAGTTTTCATATAAATGAATTTAATGAGAAAAAAATTAAGTATTGGATAAGTAAATAAAAATCAAATTCATATCCCAAAACTCAAAATAATCAGCATTTCATAAGGACCAATCAATCCAAATTTAATAGCTAAAAGACCAAAATGATATACATAACTAGAGTAAAATTCTCTTCTTAGTGAGAAGAAAATGTTCAAATAAGAATGAATAAGAAAGAGAGTAAGGAAAATAAAATATCTATATCACAACGAATTATTCTAATACTCTATATAAATTGAAGTATTTTTTTACTTTGAAAACACTTCACTTTTCACATTCTCCCTCATATTCATTTTCATTTGAATATTATCTTCGGGTTAAGAGGTGAACTTCATCCTTCTAATTTACGAGTATTTTTTCTTTTAAATATGTATATTTTAATTTAATATTTTAAATTATAAATTATTCATTTCATATGAAGAGACGTTTGCATATTAGACCAATGAAATTCACCTATTACTAAGAAGATAGTATTCAAATGAGAATAAATATATGATCAATGCTTCTTCAACTTGTCCTATTTTTGGCTCGATTGAGTCAACGCATCTTTAGCATGACCTTGGCAAAGCATTTTTGCCTTGACCTCAACTAGAGCATCTTCATCACAACCTTAATTAGAACATTTTTAACTTATCTTTAACCGACACACATTTTTAGTTCATCCTCAACTAACACTTCTTCAAGCTATCCTTGTAAACACATCTTTGGCACAATTTTGACCAACACAATTGGCACTACCTTAGCTCATGCATATTTGGCTTAACCTTAGCTTGAGCTTCTTCAACTCGACCTTGATCAAAGTACTTTTTGTTCATCATTAACAAATGCTATATTTGACTTGCATTTAACTACAACCCTCGTATCTTAAACTTAACCTTAGCTAACATACATTTTCATATCACCCTCAATCAAAGCATTTTCACCTTGATCTTGGTCAATGCATCTTGGACTAGGCCTAGATTAACACATCTTCAACTCAAGCTCGATCGAAGCATCCTAGTTCATCCTTGGTTAATGCATCTTCATCTAGGCCTTTACCAACAATCTTGATAGAGCATTTTTTTTTACTTATTTTTGCTCCCTACATCTATATAACTCAACTTTGCCAAAAACATATTCAACTTAACCTAGTTGACACACATCCTTAGTTTAGTCTTGGTCTTGGTCGATGAATCTTCCTTCAGCTTGACCTTAGGTTCAATTAAAAAATCAGTTTTTTTTTATAAATTTTAAAATATATTTTAGGTTATAATTAGATGTATAATCATTTTTTAAAAACCAAAATTGGTTATTAAAAATAAGTTATGGTTATGGATAGGTCATTTAATAACCTAACCATTGAGCACCCCTTAGTAGTCGAGCTAGTTAATTTAGGAGAAATGATTAATAAAACTTGAATACGTGTTTTATAATAATAAATAAACAATTATTAAAAAATCTTTCAAATTAATCTCTCAATGTTAATAAAACATATCAACATATTTAAGACTAAATTGATGAATTTTTCATGTTTTAGTAACAACTAATACATTTTTGTTACATAATAATACTTTCATGTATGATAGGGAAGTAATTGAATTGAATCAAACTGATCAATCTATAAAAAAAAAAATTGTAACCCAATGAACATATTAAAATAAAGTCCAATCACTACTAAACTAGACAATTTTTGTATGTTATATGTTACAAATATATTATACCTACAAAATTTTATTTTAAATTATGTTGATTGTATTATTATTTTTAATTAATTTTTAATATTTTTTTTATTTATCTGGTTCAATAAGTGACCATCTGATTTGACATGCTAAATCATTAAACTACTACTTAGACGTATTTGATTTTTATAACATTTATTATTTGGAGTAGTACTATTGAAAATTCTTCTTTTTATTCATTCTCGACTAATATTTTTTTTTTGTGATCATATTATTGACACATAATATATACCAATTTCGTCAATACTAATCTAAGTTAGAAAATCTGATTAACCATTTTTAACAGAATATCTTCTTTCAAACATATTTTTTTAAACAGAAAACTTGAATCGAGAATTTACTTGAGTAAATTAAATTCACTATCATTCGGAGCAACGGCTACTAAACCTACATGTGTCTACTACTAACGGCTACTAAAATTCAGCCTGGAAGAGTTAGCCAACAACAACAACCTGTTATTGGGTGGGCTGCTTTCATGTTCTTTTGGGCCTGTCTCTCCATTCTTCTGGTATTGGGCCAAACAACAACCTGCTATTTATAAGCCGAAAAACATGCGCCCTTAGGAACTTGGTAGAACAGTTAAACACTTCACCACACATTAAAACGCACCTACATACATGTATATTTTTTCTGCCTAAAATTCACGTAATTAACATGTACCTGCCCTACGGATTACTTGCATAGAGACGGTCCTACCTCCCCCATAAGCTTGAATCACACATGATTGGCATTATATAGAAAAATTTGAAGCTATACAAAGAATTATGAACAGTTCCTTAATTAATAATTAGCAAGTGGAGGCAGATACATGACATGACGTGACACGTACAATACAAGAGACTTTTCATTGGTAAGTTAAGGTTGGACAACACTGCACCGGCACGTGCATGCACTCATCACACATCTACATTTTTTAACCACGCACCACTCTCTTCTACCACATCTCTCTTTCGTGTTTGGTTTCTGTTCACTGTTCAACATCATCTATATAAATATAACCAGTGTCACCTATATCAAATTGCTCACCAAAAATAAAAAATAAAAAATAATCCAGTAGTAGTACACATATATACAAATCGTGATGGTGGAGCACAAAGTAAGAAGAAGCATCAGCAAAATGAGGGTTGTAGGTGGCATGTTGAAGTTGAAGAGTGTGTTGGAAAAGCTTCAAAAGAATCTCTTATTGTGCAGGCATAAAACGAGTTCCTCCTATTATGGAGATTATGAAGATGTGAAAGAAGGGCATTTTGTTGTGATTGCTGAGCATGGAGAGGGGCCAAAGAGATTTGTGGTGCCATTGAAGTTTTTGAACAACTCAAGATTCTTGAGGCTCTTGGAGGAAGCAGCAGAAGAATATGGGTTTGATCAACGTGGTGCACTAGCCATTCCTTGCAGGCCTAGTGAACTTGAGATGATATTGGCTCAGCAATGGGACAAGGAAATAAGAGAGAGATTCTGAAACTGCTGCCAGAAGCTGCAACAAAAACCATATTAAAAGCTACTGATCAATGAGCCTATATATATATACTACTATACTATTACCCAAAAAAAAATGTTATTAAGATATGTTTATTAGCCACTATAGACAAAAGAAATTAATGGAGTACTTATACTCTATTTCTTCCTATCTTTCAACACATTTTTCATCGTATCATATATCATGTTTATTACTTCTTCTGCCTCAATCCATCCTAAAATGGATGCTAGTGTATCATTTTAGGATGTTTACAATTTCTCATTCAGATGCTAATGTATTGAGGTTCTTTTACTAGTAATCAACATGCTATTTAGTATGAATGTGGTAATAAGTGCACGAATTCAAAACACTGTACACAACAGTAGAGGACATACATGACCAGTCAAAGTTGATAACGTAGACAAAGTTATGTTCCAATATAAATGCAACACATCATATTGGTTAACTTTCGTAGGATTTTTTTGGTACCATATATAATTATTCTGTGTTAATAGACAGCTAGAAAGAGAAGTATGAATCAGTGTTATCAGTATAATGTTATATGTGTGTAAGTTAATTAAGAGAGATTTTTTAATGTTACTTGATGCATGAAAAACACTGGTGCAAGGGAAACATTTAATATGAATTAAATTAAAATGAACATTTAAATTGATTTTCTACATTAAATTTTAACTGATGTATCGCATTGCAGCTAACATGCAGCATCGATGCACTCTAACGTCCCAATTGACTTACTGCAGTTAAATTTTAACCTGTGTATTTACTCTTCCAATTCTGAATAATTACTATTATTATTATTACAAAGAAAGATACCACAAATTGTCGCCTGTCCTTTTTATTATAAAGAGATGATAATATTATTTATTTCTTATAAAAAAAAAGAAAGAAATGATTATTTATTAAAATGATATTATTTTCGAGTTTTTTTTTTCCATTTTAATTAGGTTGAAAATTTTGAAATCGTTTAACGGAAGTATATGTTAAAACAAAATCATATATGTTAGCCCTTCTGTCCCAAATTAACTGTTATTTTAACATTTGAAAATTATCTCAAAATATTCTTTAATGTAATATTATATTAATTACTTTTTTTATTTTTAATTTATCTATTCATTAATTATTCAACTACCACTGTTAAAAATAATACATTTATTGAGAGTGTATAATTATTTTAGTAAAATTATATAAAAAAGTAATATATTTATTGTTATTTTAAATTTTTGTATATAAATCTCAAACTACAATCATTATGAGATAAAATAAGTATTTCAATATTTTATTTGTCTCATCCCGAAAGAAATTTTTTATATATAAAATTATCTTATATGAAATTTCGTTGTTTAATAATTTTACTTTTATTGATAATTCATCACTATACTTCTCCTATAAAGAGATACTACAAAATTAAAATGGTAAGATAAACTCATCAAACAAACTTTTAGATTATTCATTAAAGTTTTGGATAGATATTACTGAACTTCGTTTAACCATTAAGTATAGTGGTATTTAGTAAAAAAAAATTCAACATATAATTGACTCATTGCCAATAATTTTGGAAATGTTATCCTCTATTTTTACCATTTTTAAGCATCAAAAGATTACTCAGTAAAATCAACCTAGTTTAAGACATTGAATTAGTTTGTAAAAGTTTTAAATTCTAATGTTGTTCTCTCACACACACCAAAAAAAAAAAAAAAAGTCTATAAACAGAGGATTCACTGATTAAAATAATTTGTGAACACGGTGGCAACTTTTTCTCTTTTATACACATTTGACAATGAGATTATTACCCCTGGAGAAAGTAAAGCAGTTCAAAGGTCACTCGCTTCTTTTACAGTTAAACTTCTTACAAGCTCCCACGCCCCCTTCTCTATTTCCTTGCACTTCTTACTACTTTTCCAGTACAAAGCAGTCACTACATTTTTTGAACCTGGTAGGTTCTTTTATTCTTGTTCGACCACCATTGAAAATGCAATATAATAGAAGTGAGTTGAATTACAATAGATCAATTAAATTCCCTCTGTCGCTGTCTCTCTGTGACCTTGCTCTTCTACCTTGAACATGATTTTAGAGTTATTAAGTTCAACTCCATTGCCATTGGGTTTATTCCGTGCTCGTGGATGGTGATTCAGACATTGTTAAATGAGTGCCTCCCTTAATTGTTTAACTTCCCTTGTCCATTTTCTTTATTAGATCGGATGTCTTCATTTTCTATTCTAGCATGCACTACTTAAAAGCATCCACATCCTCCTTTGTTGCCTCATGATATTCAAAAAAAAAAATCAATTTCCAGATAAAAGAACACAAACTTGCATCATGTAGTTGAAGCAAATATAAACGCAACAAGAATTTATTTTAAGGTACGATACTACGTTCCTAGGAATATTTTTGTTCGAAACTTTATTTCCAAAGATATTTATGAATATCATTGATAGATTTTTTTGCTTTCCCTAAGAATAATTTTAAATTTTAAATTAATTAAAAATAAAAAATTAAATAAATGAGTTAAAATATAACTTTCTACGTTTCGAAATACATAATTCTCATCTTTCACCATGAACATAGAAATAAAAGAAATAACATTGTAACTACTCCCCTGAAAATAAATAATACCCTAAAATATCTTTCCAAATTTGAGAATGAGATTCATAAATTTTTATTCTCGTGAGTTTTTAATTGGTGAAACAATCAGAAACTTACTCATTAAAGTCAATTGGAATTCGGTCGACACGACTTGCGTCAACTGGTGCTTCAAGAAATATAAATGGGAGATTGGAACATTATACAACCCTAACAACGTGTGACATTGAGGTGGTGGTAATAGAAATGCAAAAGGAAATTGCAACAACGTAAAAATGGTATAAAGGATTAAAGGTACAAACGCAGTACCGAAATGGAACAACGCAATGTAAATTGTATAAATGCAATACCAACACGTTAATTATTATAAAATAATTATAGCATAACATTAATGGATTATTAATTTAATCAAATATCTTTCTTGTATTAGAAGTATCAATTAATAATTATATTATAAGGAAATAATTCATAAATTATTTTATTTAAAGTTACATTGGCGTATATTATAACTATAATGATTGAATTATACATAAAAAATATATTATTGTGAATTATAGCAAAACTGTGATAATTTTTCTATCACAAAGTATTGCATATTTTAAAAAAGAAAAAGTGAAAAAGAGACTCAAATGTATGAAAACTGGAAACCCAGAGCCTTCCTGTTAATAAAACCCAGTGCCTCGTTTTATATGACACTAGTCTCATATAAGCCTTTGTTTTATTAAAAATAATAAATAGATTTAGTTTTAGCAAAATCATTTGATAAATACAGCTCTGCACTCTGCATAATGGCGAGTCCAATACTCATGCTCTGCCTATCATTCACTAAATTGCCAATTTCAGGGTAATGCATGGACTACAACTGTTTTGGAGAATGGGATGTAATCGCAAATTTTCCATTCAATTTATAACAAATAAAATAAATAAAATTACGAAGACATAAAGAAGGAAATATAGGTGTATAATGAAGAAACTACCAGGAAGAAAAAGTAGTATGAGGTAACTAACAATTATAATAACACAAATATAATAGCCTCGTTCGTAGATTCAGATAGGGACCCATCTACCTCAAGGTGAAAGTCCCATTTATCCATGCTGGTTAACAACCAAGCAATTAAATGATAAGCTAGCACAACAAAAAGTAATTAAGAAAAAATTATTACCAGTCCAAACCGTTGGAGGGGCGGGGAATCTTGGCTCGGACAAAAAATATAACAACCTTGTATACTACAAACCGATTATGCCATTGAAAATCGTCAAAGTTGAGAAACGGAGGTACCGACTGTTTACTGGCAGTGAGAAATCCTTAGACGGTGATATCAGAAGCAGCCAATGTCCCCACACCTGCTTCAGTCAGATAAACCCGCTTTTGCCTTCAGATGCTGCTTGAATTCCATAATGTCACCCTCCCATCTGGTAACACTTTGATCAGCACATATCCATATCTCATGGGCTACTTGATTAATGAGCCTAAAATCATGGCTCACAAGCACCATGCCACCATCCCATTCATTCAACGCCTCCGCCAATGAGTCAATAGTCTCAATATCCAAATGATTCGTTGGCTCATCCAAAAGAAGCATTTGAGGCTGCCTGAAAGCTAACCAAGCAAATATCACTCGGCTCCTTTGTCCATCAGACAAGTTCTTCATTGGCATTACCTGGGCTTTACCAGAGAGCCCAAACTTTCCAATTGCTGCCCTCATCTTCTCTTCCTCGTTTCCAGGGTATTCTTTAATCATATACTGGAGAGCAGACATTTCCATGTCTAGCTTTTCAGCCAAATGCTGATGATACTGGGCAATCCGAAGATGATTATGACGACGCACCATGCCATCAGAAGGCATCAACTCTCCTGTCATTAGCTTCAGTAGTGTACTCTTCCCAGCACCATTTGGTCCAACCAGTGCAACCCTAGAATCTAAATCAACCCCAAAGTCAATGTTCTTGTAAATCAGATTATCAGGAGTATAACCAAATGCCACCTCAACAAACTGAAGAACGGGAGGAGGCAGTTTTCCCACATCAGTAAAACGGAATACCAAAACTTTGTCTCTAACCACCTTCTCAGCAAGTCCACCTCTTTCCATTTTTGCCAGTGTTTTCTCCTTACTCTGTGCCTGGCGAGCTAGTTTTGCAGAACCATGACCAAATCGGGCAATATATTCCTTCATTGAGGCAATCTGCTCCTGCTCCCACTTGTACTGTTTCATCTGGTTCTCTTCTAGCTCAGAACGTGTCTGAACATATTGATCATAGTTACCAGTGTAGAGCTTCAGTTTTTTGTTTTGCATGTGGATAATATTTGTGCAGACACCATTAAGAAAGTCCTGAGAGTGTGAAATCACAACCAGAATACGTTCAAACTTCTTCAAATTCTCCTCCAGCCACACACAAGCTTCCAAATCTGCAAACAGAATTAAAAGAAATTAATATATGAACAATGTTATTCCAGGAACGAAGCAAGAATATGTCAACAGGAACTTCTCAAAAATATGATGACCAAAGGTATATGTCAAATCAATTTGTAAATATTTCATCACTTGCACTACAAGAGATGTGCCCAAAAACTAAACAAAGTGATGACGTATATATTAAACAAGATGGGAGGGTTGAGAAAATTTTCGTAATATCACCAGACAAGATGCAAACGATTCTGTCTGGCATTCTGAATAACTTATCAAACATGTTGATATGACACACCTACTATCCTATCCAAACTGGAAGAAATCTGATCATGGCAACATCCACAGTCTGGTTAGAAACCATTTGATAAATGATCATTGCATTTATCTGGGACATAACTCAAATAAATAACTAAATAAAGCATCATCTGGCCCTCTAATCAAATATCAGGTGATCCAACAGATTACCACCCCAACCAATTTAATGCATAAAATATGACAGATAAAATTTATTCAGACAAACAAGAGGGACTCTTCACAGATCAGAGAGTGTACCAAGGTGATTGGTTGGTTCATCAAGTAGAAGAATGGTTGGGTTCATAAATAGAGCTCGTGCTAAAGCAATTCTCATTCTCCAGCCACCAGAAAAATCACGGGTCTTCTTTGCCTGCATTTGCTTGTCAAAACCAAGACCGTGTAAGATTTCAGCAGCACGCTTTTCTGCAGTTGCTGCATCTAGGGCATCCAATCGTTCATAAATACGTTCAAGGGATTCACCACCTCCGTCATCCTAGAACCATAATTACTCAAACAAAGTTAGCAAACCATACAAAATTATAAAACAAAAAAAGGGCAAAAACTAGATACATAATTACTTAAACAAACCTGTGCAGCCAACTCTTCAGCTTCTTTCTCCAATTGTAACCTTTCTTCGTCACAGCTTATGACGGCTTCCAATGCAGACATGTCAGAGGCTTCAATCTCCCTGGAAAGGTGATAGATATCCATGTGGTCGGGAATTGGAAGTTCCCTGCAACCTATTGCAGTAAGCAGTGTAGATTTTCCACAACCATTCAATCCAAGTAAACCATAACGCCTGAAAGAAATTCAAAGCAATCAGAATCACTATTAAAACATCCAGGTATGCACTATAGCATTCTATCTGGACCAATAGGGTAAGAACAACAAACCTTCCATAATTGAGCTCCAATTCAGAATCAACAATGAGATCATGTCCGTGGAATGTAACAGATAGAGACTCTATCTGTAACACAAAGAATACAACACAATACAACCCAATGCATCAGTACAACACATATAATTTTCACCATTAACAAATAGTCATAATTAATACGGCGGAAATTTCCTTTTGCAGCACAACATACAATATTACCTACCTCCTTAGAATTTGAATTTACATTCACAAAGGAGAACCAGCTGCCCCGCTAGGCGCTCAACTACGTGCACCCACGCTAGCAACAATAAGCTACAAGTAAGACTCACTAAATTGGGAATGTTTACCACAATTTAGAAAACTTACACATTATCAACATAGATTATGTCTGCCATGAACTTGGTTCTAGATTCATTATATCCTACGCTTTCTTTTAAATTGATTAACAAGGCTGAATTTCCCTTAAAAGAACCAAACGGAATATTCGTAATCTAAATTGCTAAACAATACATATTTTGAATCATGAACAGTAAGTTTCAAATTAAATCTAGCAAAAGTCGATTCTCCTCTCTTTATCGCATATGATAATATAAAATAAACTATTATCTGTATTTTGTTATTTAATTATTTTTTTAAAATAGTGCATAATTGATGAATAAGTGTTACAGTGAAAGTTAGGGTTACTTACCCGAATATCTCTGGAAAGAGGATGCGAACAGAGGACGCCGGTGCAGGTCCGATCCGAAATCTGAATATCGGCGATTCCATTGGCGACCTTATCGGCGGCTTTGGAAGAGGTGGCGCCTTTCTTGGCGGCGGCCTTGCCGCCTCTCTTGGCAGCGGCGGCGGCCTTCTTCTGCGCGGCCTTCATCTTGCTGGCGTCGGACACCATCTTGGATCTGCAACGATTGGATCGGAGAGGAGAGAAGGAAACAGATCTGGGAGCGAAGAGGAACCCGAGCGAGGGCTTAGGGTTGGAGGTTTGAGTTTTGAAGGAGCTAGTTGCGGAAGGCGTGTGGTGAAGTTTGGAGTATATATAGAGGAAGGTGTGGTGTGGGCTTCCGCTATGGTTGCGTGTTCGACTTGGACTCGGACTGTAATGTAAGAAAGGTAAAGTCAAAGTATGGAATCGTGTTGCCACTCCACTGTGCGCTGAGCCTTCGTGACAAATACCGCTATAGCTGTTTCTTATGGGCTTTCTAGCCCGTTCTTTTATTTTTATCTTGTTAATTAATGGGCCTCTCAGTCATAAGTTACGATTGGCCCGTGTATTTTTTTTCTTTATATTTTGTTATATTCGAGATTCTTTTGGGCCGTACTGGAGACGTTAACCCAAGTGAGAGTCTGTAGAAGTATCAAACCCAAGTGAGAGTCTGAAGTTTTAATATAATATAATTTTTTTATTATGTAAAAAATAAATTTAATTATACGCATTTAAAAAATAATAATAAACAAATAAATCAACCTCCATACTCACATAATTCATTCATCCCATATATTGCACGGGTAAAAAAAAAAACGTAACTATATAATTTGGTGAATGTAACTATTCATAAACATGGCTTAAAACCCCAATAATTTAGTCCTCTTAAAAGGGTTCTAATAGCAGCACATGAGCCTTTCTGGAAAACTTTGTTTAGGGCGAAAAGAAAAGGAATAGAAGACTTTTAAGAGAGAAAATGACATTTTTGAAAGGTTGCTAGTTTAATTCGCTACTTGCTAGATTCCCTAAGATGCCAAACAATACTTAGTGGCCATACAGTTTTTGCTGTCTAAATTAAAATTTGTGTGATATATATTATTTGTCAGTAATACAGTAGTTTATACTAATTAACAATACTTTTGGGAGATATCAAACTTTCCAATATTGGGTCCATGGGGGTACTGCTATATATAGTTTTGCTTATTGCTTCAACAATATTTTTTATCACATTGTCTCGCGGGTTCTGCATCACTCCAAATATTGTAATTACCATTTGTAAATTTTCTCATTAACTTAACGGCTTTTAGTTTATTAAAAAAATTATTTTTTAATTAAAAGTGCTTAAAGAGAAATATTCAAATATATTATTGAAAAAAATTCAAGTCTTGTATCGATTAAAGATAAAATAATTAAAGAATATATAAGTAAAATATAATCTTTACTTTACAAGTTGATTTTGTGTGGTTGACTTAAAGTCCTAACTCACCTTCTAAGATACACTTATAAAAACTTTTAATTTGTAAATAAGAAATACAAAATAGTTTAATTTTTAATTTATATATAAGCTTTTCATAGGGGTGATCAACAATTGGGTACGATTTATAACTCATGGGTTTTAAATGACTTGTCTGTTTAGACAAGTCTAAGTTTTAATGGACGAATTTCTACATATAAGCATGTATTAAATTTTGAATCATTTAATTGGCCCAAATAAAATTTTTATCCAATTTATTATCTCTTTCTTTTCAATTCTTGTATTTTTTTTATATTTAGTTTGTTTAGAGTTAAAATAAATAAAATTATTCAAGTTTCAAATAATTTAAATATTATAATAATTTTTTTAAGTACATAATACAAAATAGGAAGTTATAAACTATAATCCCAACTAGAGTCTTTTTATGCATTAAGAATAAAGACTAAAGATAAATCAAAATAATTTTTATTTTTGAGCATGAATGATAATTACTTTAACTTTTATTTTATTTGAATGGTTAGATTCAAGTATCCTATAGGTCCAAAAACTCAAACAGAACTTAATTAAAATTAATCATTTTAAATCGCTTTTTTAACTCATCTAAGTTGATAATCCATTCGAACTCACTAATTTACCTTTCATTTTTTCAGTTTCAGGCCGGATCCGGATCGGTGCTCACCCCAAGTTTTTCATTTGAAAACATGTCCAAATTAAAGTAAAAATAAAAATGGGAAGTACGCATGCTTCATTGTTAATGTTATCTTCATTGTTCTTGCAGCTTCATGTTGGTTAGATTCCTGGAGACTCTTGTGCATCGGCAGTGTAAATTTGTATTATTTTGTGAAACTTTTGTTACTTTAGAAATCTTTTATATATTTATATACGACCATTAATCTTTAACGGTCTAAGCATATTCTTTTATATGCTTGAGTTTCGTTTTCATTATCTCATATACTTTAACTTTTGCTTCCAATGCATTTTTTCTTTTTGCTTTAGCAATAGACAATAATATTGACCTTTTGCTTTATTACTATCTTCATTATTTTGTGTTACACAATCCTAATTGCACGCAAAACAAATTAATTACATGTATTAAACAGCGAATAATGTCTCCATCTAGAAATTCAAATGACGAGAGAAATATCATTGATGATCCTATAATTGAAAAACAAGATTGTCATTAAAATTTAGTTTTAATAGCCATTTAAAGTGTACTTCATGTTAGGTCCTTTTCTGCTCACTTAACCGGATCCTTATCTGCACTCTCAACAACTAAGGTAAAGCTTTAAATGCCAATAATAAATATAGTAATTATTTATTAATTACCTGTAAAATCTTTTTACTGGTTTTTAATAATTAAAAAAATATTGTACATACTATTCTAACCTATCCACCAACACCACAATCAATATCCTTAAGACACCAACTAACAAAACAATATGTAAAACAAAATATATCAGAGGAAAGTTATATATTAACAAGGTAAAACAGTTTTTCACTCTCATTTAATCATAAGTTATTATATATACTATCTTAAAAATTCATAAAATATTTTTTATTTTTAATTGTATAATATTTTTACTTCAATAGCAAATGATCATTAAACATCAACTGTATTGTTGCATGTTTTTGATCGAAAGAAAAGTTACTTTTATGTCTTAACTAGGTGAGCATTTTTCAACCTTTTCTTCCATTTTTACCATAACTAAGGAACAATAACTATAGCTAAAAGCTACTATTTCTATTGCAATGATTCGAGTAGAATTTGACCCCAAAGTCTTGGTGGCCCGAAAGATATGGTCGGTGAAGTCATGGCTTATTAATTATTCATGACTTTTATAAAAGAATGCTTGAATCTTGAAACAAGAGAGTAGTACTAGTACACTTAGCACAAAAATAACTAAAAGGATCATCAATTCACCAGTCTACTACTGTTTATCACTGTTCACTGTAATGTTATGATTTTCATATATTTTTTTTTTCTTGAAAAGGTTCTTTTGCCTGTTTAGTTAATCATAATAATTATGAGGACTTTCTATTTATTTTGCTTGCTTTGTGTTGTCCAACCTCAAAGAAAAAGTCATGTACGCCTCTAAAATACACTTTTTCTTTTTTCCATTTTCGAAAGCCTCTAAAATTCATTGACTTAAAGTCTTGAAGATATGTATGAAAGGACTTTTGGGTCATGGCCAATGATGATACTTTGGATAAGAAAAGAAGACACTAAATTTTAGAAATTGTTCGTTGGATAATCATAAAAAAAGAAAGTTATTTTTAAAAAAGTTTAATATAATACCGAACCAACAATTTAAGTAAATGAAGCGACAACCGTACTGCAAGTTGCTTTGTCGCATATCAAACATACATGCAAGAAGACGATATTATTAAAACTGTTTAATATTTTACTTTATTAATTCAAATAAGTATATCAAATATTTTTATAATTAACAATTTTATGATTGGAATCATTATATATAAACTAATTATAAGTATTAACCCTTGAGATCTTGTGTTTGGTAAAGATAGATGTGAGACATTTGACCAATGACTTTTTGCCGGCAATTGTCATATTCGGCCATCAGTTCTGTTTCTTCAATTATCGAAAGGAAGAAGAGTCGAAGGACAAGTTCATATTTGGTGGTAGCTTCATAGCTCACGTTTTCCACAAATTATTGTACTATCTTTGATCTTTTTATTTTACATAAGAAACAAAATGCATGTATTTGTCTCTTAATTATTAAAGAACACATTTATTTGAAGATGAAAATTATTTTTAAAACTTTTCATTAAAATCAAATTTATCAATAAAATACTTGCATCATTAAATATAATCACTATTCTTTCTTATTTTAAATATAAGTAAAAAAAATCATTTATGTTGATTTTACATATAGACAAAATTTAACTAATGTTACTCTCATCCTTATTGTAGAATCTAAATTTTTTAATTGATTTAATACTTTTCATAAGAACTCTTGGACTTTTTTACTCAAATAATACTATTTTTAAAAAATTTTATCTAAATAACAACCGTGCAAATTTATTTTCCCAATTAGCATTATTTCCTGTTCAAGTTTGGAACGGAGTGTTCTGAAATCAGAACGGGCCGTTCCGGATTAAAAAATAACACATGGAAAATGGACCAGAACAGACCGTTTCAAAATCAAAATTAGCACATAAAAAGTGGAACCAAATCGGGCCGTTCTGACCTACAAATAATTTTTTTTTTCGATTTTCACTTATCAAATACCAAAACTCAAAAACTAACATCAAATAATTAAATTTATTGAATATTAACATTATAAATATATCTAAATAAATTTATTAAAATTCAATACAATAAAGATCAATGGTGACAGAAACTGATTATGTTGTTCTCTAATGTCTATCTCCGTTTTAATCATGCTGGACTTTGGCTGACCCTTAAAAGCTCGCTTGAGTTCTGGATTTGGCCACAAAGTTTGACTAATGTAAGTAGGCCAATAATCTTCATGTCCGAGCTCTCCAAATTGTCCTTCGTATACCTTTCTGGAACTTGCCGCAATCATACGATATTTCATTTAGCCTTACTGTAAATCTCCCATCGGGTCAAACTTTTTTCAGATGTTGCGTTTCTTTCAACTTTGTGGCCAAGTCCAGAATTCAAGAGAACTTTCAAGGGTCGGTCAAAGTCTAACAGGATTATAACAGAGATGAACATTAGAGAACAACATAATCGTGTAAAAATTGTTCCTATTGTCACACCTCTGGTCACACTAGGAAGACATATCCAAATATTGGTCATGAATTCAGTTTCTGCATCCATTGATCTTTATTGTTGTAATAAATTTTAATAAATTTATTTAGTTATATTTATAATGTTAATATTCAATAAATTTAATCACTTGATGGTAGTCTCTGAGTTTTAGTAATTGATAATTGAAAATCAAACCAAAAAAAAATTATTTATAGGCTAGAACGACCCGTTCTAGATGCAGAACAGCCCGTTCTAGTTCTACTTTTTATATGCTAATTTTGATTTTGGAACTGTCCGTTCTGATCCATTTTTCATGTGTTATTTTTTAATCTAGAACGGCCCGTTCTGATTTCAGAACGACCCGTTCTGAACATGAACAGTAAATGGTGCTAATTGGATAAATAAATTTGCACAGTTGCTATTTGGGTAAATTTTTTTAAATAGTATTATTTGTGTAAAAAATTCAAACTCTGGTCTATTATAATTCAAATATTAATTTTTTTCTTTGAAAAATGTTATTATTAAATACATTTTTATGTTTAACAAGCGAAAATCATTTAATTTAAGTCTCCTGAAATATAAATAGTCTCATTTTTTTTTTCTTGAAATGGAAAATTTTTGGAAACATTATATTGCTCACTTCTCTTGGATAATTAATTTAAGGGTAGTTTTAGAAATAAATAAAAAAAATTAAAAACATATTTATTAAAATTAACAAAAAAATTACTCTTTTAATCATGGTGAATTAATTATTTAAATCCTATAATAAGAATCGGAGATAGTAATATTATTTTCAAAATACTCATTCATTTAAATGTGGTAGTATTTTCAATAACCATTTTGTTTTTATATCAAGTTTGAATAAAAGGTCATTTAAAAAATAAATAATTTTTAAATGAGATTAGTAGAAGAAAATAATGTTATCCAACTTTCTTTTAAAATGGAGACTAATAATACCTACACACATATTTTTAAATTGCGTATCACACTAACATTATGATAAACAAATAAGACAATAAAATTTATCACCAAACAACATAAATTTATTTTGAGTTTCACCAAATTATATAATTAAGTTCGGTTAACATTGTTTGTGAAGTACAGGGAAGCAGTTAAAAAGTAAGAGCAAGATGGTTGCAAGAATTCTGAGTTTTGCTTTTACTTTATGCACAAAAAGAGGGACTGTGAGGAGAACATTTCACAGTAATCTTTGCATAAAGCGTAGTGTGGCAAGAAGCTAGCTCAACAAAATTTCATAACACCCTAACCTTTTCTTCTCAAACTTATATCTGGAAAAGAATATTTAAGGTCCTTTAGGGCAGTGTCTGACCCTTTACGTGTGTGGCCCCTTGTGAGAAATTCAACTCTAAATAAAGCTCACTTTATTTCATCAATGCATCTAGGTACGATTTAGGTACAACCTGTTGCCTATTCATATTGTGAGCAATGTGTGAATTATTAATTTGTTGAAATCATTCATGCAAATATATTAGACTCTTTGATTACAATTCGTGTTCAATCAGATATACACTCACCAATTAGAGTTTCAAAACAATTGGCTTCATGGCTTCCAAATAGTTTATTATACATTTGGCAATTGGTTGGTATATTCTTTTATATGATAAATACCTTTAATTTAATATTGAAGGGAAAGAGGGACATATTTTGATTTCTGTAATTCCTTTTAATTCTTTATTTATTTCTCTAGTTTTTCTTTAGTCCAATTTGTTGTTGAGAGTGAAACGAAATTTGGTTTCTTAAATAAGGTTCTAGATACGAGTTTTGTAGATAAAAAAGACGAAATAAATCTCATAAATCAAAGTAAATAATACTTTAAATAGAGTAACTCTAGTGCATACTTGAGTTGGAATAAAGGGCATGATGAATGGCGATCTTACATGGCTTCAAGTTCATGCCATGGTCACTATCTCATAGATATACTAATGTAAAGGCATGCAACAAAAGGGTTCTTTAACCACGTGGATATGGAATCTTTAAAATGCATAATATTTCGTTTTATGAATATACAGGAAAGCATTCCTACTTGTGAATACACTTTATTAAAACACTTAGTAAAAGAAAAAGCCGAAAAGTATTTCATCGTTTGGTTAGGTTGACCTCTCGCAAGGATGATGTAGTGGGCAGAATATTCTTGTATTATTAAAATAAAAGTGTCTTTTACATAATTATTATAGCTCAAAACTTAAAAGGAAAAGGGGTGCAATGGCTAGGCCACTTGTGTGTATATATATATATATTAAAATAATTTATAATAGAAAATGGACATTAAAAGGGATATATTAAAATTTCTGTTTAAAACTTTAAATTGGTATGTACCAAAAAAGAACTTGTCTCGTTCGTGTCTAATTCGTCCGGTCCATAAAAGCTGCAGAGCCATATAATAAACAGTAGATGAAAAGCCGAATAAATTACCATAAAATTGGTAGTTTATTAGGGTTTTTCTTAGACGTCAATGTGATTTGTTTGTTCGAACTGCCTCTTTCTCTGTCTTGTTTCATCCAAAAAAATAATTGAGTCAAATAAATACAGGATGTGGAGTTACAAAGGCTTATGTACCAAGAATTAATTTAGAAAATATTTTATAAATCAATTCATAGTACAATACAAATTTTGCCAGAAATTTTAAAAGTTTTATGCAAAGGGTTTCGATATTCTAGATTGACTATTGCAAATCTATGATGTAAAATACAACTTAAATTAAAGAAATAAAAAATATACGATAATAGTCATTAATTTAACCAGTCAAACTAATAAATCATAAATTAATATCTTCATTAATTAGAAGACGAATCTGATTTCAAAAGTATTTTTAAAATAACATTTGACCAATAAAAAAATCATGTCTAAATATAAATTAGTCTTAAATTATCAATTTTTAATTTAAAATATTACGTAAATCCTATCTATAAAAAAAATATATTTTAAAAAGTGTTTCTGTACCACTACGGGTTGTTTGGCTTTTCCTTCCTTTACAAAGGCCCTTGTTTCTTTTGCCAAAGGCAGACAAAAATCAAGGGGGGTTTGAGTGCACGGTAGTGTGAGGTCAGTGGTCATGCATAGCATAGGCATATCATCATCGCCAAAGACTACATATGCCATGCATAAAACCCAAAGCATTGTCATCATGATCCCTCACGTTTTGATACTTAGGGTCGTGTAGCACATGCAACCCAAATGCCTCAGTTATTAGAGGGGATATAACAACTTTTATGCACAAATAAATGCAAATTAAAGCCATTTAAGAGAATCCACGGGTCATTCATAATAATCATTATAGAAAACAGCACCTTATAGTACTAGTAGATAATCATCGCATTACACTAATGATTAAGACTATTTTTTTTATATATATATAAAACCAAGTCACATATGTAAAAGACTAATGAGAGCTCAGGCCATTCAAATTAGAAACGGAAGATAAAGTTAAAATCATGAGTTATAGCCAATTATAAATATTTGCATGACTGAGTTCAGTCAGTCCACACGGCGAAGAAGAGGAAAGCAGCATTTTAATTCATGGGGGCATTGGAAAAAACGAAAAAGCCAAATTGGAAAAGAGCAGTTAACACATAGGACAAATAATAAAGGTGGGAAAAGGACAGAGTTTAAACCCACTAACAAACCTGGCTTCGAGGCAATGGCGTGGTTGATAGTGGAGACCGGAGAGGACAAATTATTAAGGTAGAAAGAGATGGAGGACACAAAAAAAACTTGTAGGAATAAGCGTCATAACTAATGAGTGCACCAAACACCCTCTTGGGACACAGGACACCTAATAAGGACATGTACCTGCCAGGTCCATCTCCCTAAATTTTCATATACGATCATTAAATTATCGGGAAATTTGGCAGCAACTTGGTTGCACAACACAATATAGAAAGAAAAAAAAACAAACTGGACCAAGGTGAGACAATAGTGATAGATTCCAATTTCCATATTTATCATTTACATTATGCATCAACTAATAACAAATTCTGAAACTGCTATTGATCGCCATTTAAAATAATAAACAAACGGTATTGGTTAACTAATCACATAAAAACCCTTTTTTGGGCTAAGCACAAACATCTCAAACTCAAAGCTCCCGTGGAATTCTAATAACTAAAAGTGAAAAAGAATATAATAGAAATAGTCTAGACTCTAGTCTCCACCCCTGCCAAAAACCATCGTCATCCATCACCCAGTTGAACGAAATTAATATCTGACACGTCACTCACATGACGGAACAAGCATGCGGGTTCTCATCACTGAACATTTGTGGTGGTGGTGCATGCAAGTGAAGGTGCATCTGCTCTGGGTACACTGGCACATAGCTATACCCACCAACATAGCCGTGCCCAAAACCATGCCCATGCCCATGACCATAACCAAAACCAAAGGGAGGTACCAAATGCTCTATTCTGTTATATATTTTCTCTCCTTCCACTTCAACATTCTCATTCTTATCTCCTCCACCACTGCCACCCTTGTTCTTCTTCTTCCCTGATCCTTCATTCTCACCACCTTCCTTCTCACCGTCCTTGCCTTTCTTGGGAGGAACCACCACAACCTCCCTCCTAAGCTTCTCCGTAAGATTCCCCGCCAGAGCCTTAATGTCCACGGTCCCCTTCACAGTCACTGTTTCCTTCTCCTCGTCAACGTTCATTTCTTGAACTCCTGCATCATGTCCATTTCCAAATGCCCATTTAGCCAAACCAAGAGTCAATTTTAACCCCCAAAAAATAATAAACTACTCTAAAAACACTCCTATTATCTTAATTCCACAAATTAAAATTAACTTTTATAAAATTAATTTATAAAAACTCATTCATATGAATTTTTTCCAAAATTTATTTTTAACTTACCCCCAAGTTAATTTTAGGTAACATAATTTCATCTCTCTTAATGCATGCTTGGATTTCTGTTTCACCAAACTTGTTGATTTCAACCCATCTAGATAGTACAAACTTTTCTGTTTAAATGCATTTCGTGTGCTATATTTTTTTGATCTTACCAAAGATATCCAACTACTTACTCAAGACTCAACTCGAAATTAATGCACGATATTCAAACACATCCTTATTTTTTTTTATTTTTTATTTTTATAAGTAGATATGGAGAAGATTTCCGGACTAACCTTTGGTTTTGTACACAATCCTGCAAATCCTGTCTTTGCATCCCTGGCAATGCATTGCCACCTTCAGAACCGTGGTGGTCACCACCTGTTAAATTAAGCAAAATTGGTAATAAGCGAAAAATAAATTAAAAAAAAAAAAAAAACGAACAGAAGTCACAAGAGCAAGTGCAGCAGAAAAAAATTAGAAAAAAAATAAATAAAAAATCCCAGGCTGGCAGTGGCAGAGAAAGCGAAACAAATTAAAATCGTCGGGGACCAGCGAGTGACGAACGAACCTCTTTGTCTTTGGTTTTCTTATCGTCGGTTTTGTCCTCTGATTTGTTGTTAGTTTTGGCGTCCTTGTTCTCCTTCTCCTTCTCCTTCTTGTTCTGCGGAGAGAGGATTTCGACCTTCTTCTTGGTCTTCTCCGCGAGGTAGTCCCTCAACTTGGCGGGGTCCACTTTCCCGGTGACCGTGACCTTCCCGGCGTCGCTCTCCAGCTTCACCGTCTCCACGCCTTCCACAAAAGAAGGTCCAATGTTAGAATGAGAGTCAAGAGAAAGATCCATAAACAGTAGAAAGGAGTTTGGCGAAACCTTGGAAGGCGCGAAGGCGTTTGAGGGTTTTGGAAGCGCAGCCGTCGCAATGCATCAGTAGGCGTAAAACGACGGTGGCGACGGTGTCGTCGTTGTCCTTGTTGGCAGCTGATTTCTTCTTCTGCAATTGAGTTAGGGTTTGAGTTGGACATTACATGAGAAAGTAAACGAAAGGAAAGTTGGGAGAGTGAGTGGCTTACCGCGCCCATTGAGAGTTGAGAATGGAAGAGTTTGTGTTGTATGGGTGGTGGTGGTAAGTGTGGGTGTCAATGGGAGTGAGTATTTATAGGAGATTAGAAGACGTGTGTTATGAAATGTATTGGTGGAGTGGGAGTGGGACCCACGTTTTCCTTCCTCGACAACCACCTTCGTTTAATTGCATTGACTTGACCCAGAAGCTTCTTGCCTCTTGCCAAGCAAATGTGTGCACCGTCCCTCTTCAATTGGATTGGGCCTGCCTCAATGGAAACACTTAATGTCTCTTCCACCTTAATTATTTTTATAAATAACAAATACTAAAACTATACAATAATAAATAGTTTTTAAAAATAAAGGTGGTTATGGAGTGAATTTTGTAGAAAATAATACAAAATTTGTGATTTGTAAAATGGTAATTATAGAAGTAAAATTCTCAAAAATAAATGTAAATAATAAATGAGACAATCTCTTTTATTAATAATATAAATATTAGTGAGTTTCATGTCTCTATAACTTTTATTTAAAAAAAAATAATAATAATAATAATAATCATGTGGTTGTGTGTGGTTATTAAAAAAATAAAAATCAATAAAAATTATTATTTAATGACTTAGAGTATTCTTTTTATTAATGTTCTATACTAAATAAGATTCACTTACTCAAAAAGTAAATCTACTTATATATATTTCATTTAATAACTTATTTTATACGTCAAGTTTCAATAATCTAGCCCTAAACCATTTAAAAAAAATTGCAAAAGTAATTAATCATTAAAATTGCAAAAGATAAATCAAGATATTAAGAACTTTTAATCTAACATTTAAATCAATAAAATTTGATGTAGAATATGAGTTATTAGAAATAAGTCTAAATAAATTTTCTCTTCGAGTCTCTCCTTATATATATATGTATGTGTGATGTAGATTTCAGGCTAAATTATATTTTTATTCTTTCTACTTATTTTTAAAATTCAATTTAGTCTCATTATTTTCAAGAATGTTCAATTTGGTCCTCCAAATTAAAAAAAATGTTTAATATTGTCATTCCGTCAAATTGAATAATAATTATCTAATATTTTACTATTTAGATAAATTTTAATTTTATTTATTTACTTTAACAAGATCATGAATGACAACAAATTAAGTACTTAAAATTAAAATAAAAAAAAACCACAAAATAAAAGAGTTATCTAATAAAAGAGATTATTAAATAGATAAAAAAAATATAAATGTTTTTGAACAACTTAAATATTAAATAAACTTTTATTCAATTTAGTCCCTTTATTTATTGAATGTTAATTTAATCTTTTAATTTTCAAACAATGTTCAATATTTTTATTCCATCTAATTGTTTAATGTTATTAGTGTCAAGGATATCATTAAATTTTTTAAAAACAAATTAGAAGATTATATTAAACCATTTAAAAATAATAAGATCAAATTAAATTTTAAAAATAAATAGAGACTAAAAATAGAATTTAACTTAAAATTTATTAAAAAAATAGATAATCAAAATGAATTATTCTAGATACATCTATTTTATTTTAAGTCTCTTTTTAATATATGTAAAAATTTAAATAACATATTTTCACTTTTATTAAAATATAATATATATATATATATATATATTTTAAAGTTATGTGAATTTTATAATATTTGTGTTAGTATAATGTTTTGATTGGTGTCATGTTACGTGTAAATACAGAAATATTTAAGTTGATTCAGGGGGTCAGTCGGTTGGTCCAATGTTTGCAGGTTGCTGTAGATTGTAGAGTTGTTAGCCCAATTATACTCTCACATTTTATTACTCTACAAACCCTATTCAGTGCCTTACCCTCTTTTTTCTTTTTATAAATACAGCTCAGGGCCCCTTTCTACTGGTTTCATGAGGCTCCACTAATAGTGGGTATAAGCTTTTATTTTGCATACCCATACGATACCCTATGTTTTGCTGATAATAATATAACGCTAATTAAATTAAATATAATAACTAAAAATTAAACAAAGTTTAATTCTCTCAATACTCACCTTAATTTACTAAGTATGAAAAAAAATACATCACATTGATTACGTAATTGCTCTTTATGTATTAACATGAAAATAATTATTAAATCATTAATGGATAAAACTTTTAGGTATAATGAAAATAAAGATTTCAAGATTTTCATGTTAGATTCATCTCTTTCTTAGCTGTTATGAAAAATTGGTTTTGAGGGTTTTATTTTATGAATACCTCACATTTATTAGACTAGATAATAATTGTGTTTGATATTTTGTAGATGACTTTACCACAACTCTAAGAAATGCGTTTTAACACCAGCTCTAAGAAATACTTGATATGTAACTTTTTAATAATTTTTATCATATTTTTTAGTAAACTTAAGAGGTATAATTTTTTTTTCACTGGGTAATTATATCCATTTTAGAAATAAAATGGTATCTATAGTTGTAACTTTATGCTTAAAGTCGATACTTAAATAAAATACACAATTATCAAACTATTTGTTATAAGATTCATAATCTTTATCATATCTAAACACATAAAAATGTTTATATTAAAAAAAAAACTATATAGCTTTGAATTTTGTATTGTTACGGAAATTTGTAGAAGTATGGCTACACCTATCAAGCTAATCAATAAAGAATAATAATTCCCCTTCATAAAATAAACTAATATAATAATAAAAATTAAATAGGTATTATTTCCAAAAAAGAAATTGAAAAGTTAAAATTATATTTGTTTTGCTAAATTGCACTTTTGTCTATCTATTTTTATCAAACTACAATTTTGATTCCTCTACTTTAAAATAGAGACATTTAGTTAGGCATGGCAACGGGGCGGGGCGGGGGCGAGTTTTACATTCCCCCCGCCCCCGCCCCAAGGTTATCAATAGCGGATAATGGTCTATGGCGGTGAGTCCGAAAATCCTTTATAACTCTATGGCAGATGCCATGACGGCCTATGGCGGACAATATATATATATATATATATATATATATATATATATATTTAAAGAAAACAACAAAATAAATAACAAGCAACATAATATCAACTTAAATACTTAAATATCATAAAAATAAGAAAAAAGAACAATAATAAAATAGGAAGAAAATGAGAATTTAAATTGACCTAATTGGTAGAAGAATTGGGATTAAAAAAATTGTTGTTGTAGATGCAACAATGAATTCATTAAGAAATGACTCATAGGAGTATGAAAAATTAAAAGGAGGATTAAAACTGAAAAAATAAAAGGAGGAGGAGGATTAAAACTGAAAAAAAAAAGTAGGAGGAAGATTAAAACTGAAAAAAAAAAGTAGGATTAAAACTAGAAGAAAAAAAAACCTAGTTTGGCTATGTCGCCTGAGTACTGGGCCACCATGGTTCAGGTTGCCGGCCAGAAAGGGGACGAAGGGACGGTGAACGGAGGTGATTAGGGGCGGTTTTGACTTTCGTAAGTGTTGTTCGCACTTCGTGGTTGCTGGCTGGAGTCTTGGGCTACCACGATTCAGGTGGTCGGTGGAAAAGGTGACCGAAGAGCAGTGATTGGAGTTGAACGAAGGTGACCGGAGAGGTTTAGGGCATGAGCTCCTCTTCAAGTGCAGTCGCGACTGTGAGGGAGAAGAGAGACGAGATGCGGATACGAGGCAAAAACATAGGGCTCACTTCATTTGGGCCTATTTCGAAGCCCAAAAATAGGTTTTTTTCTTTTTTAAATCCGTCATGACCACCATGTACGTCATAAAGCTTCACAACGCCATGACCATGGCGGGTGCCATATCGAAAATAGCAGAAACCGCCATAAACCTTCATAAAAAGGATGAAGAATGGCGGG